CGAGGCAGGAAAATAGTTACAATTTTCTTATGGCTTTTCCAATTAAACAGCTGAGAAAAAATTGGTTCATCATCTGTAGCCTTTATACTCCTGTCACATGAATCCTGTGCCCAACAGTATATTTTTATTTGGATTTCAGCCACTATTGAGGCGAGGCCGATCCACAGATTCAGCCAACGAGCGAATAATCGCGTTGTTCATCATTAATTTTTCAATTCTAAGGTTTTCAATGCTTTCTCCACTATCAGATTGAACAATTGACCGCGTTTGTTTCGCTACGGTATATAGAACCGCCAGGCAGCATAACCTCGCCGGTTTATAGATCGACTGTTATCAACAGTGTTGAATTTTTAGTGTTACTAGCCCTGTCTACGCTAGCAGTCGCGCTTGCAAGATCGCCGCTCGCGCACATAGCTTTAATCACGCGAGTACGAATTTCTTTCGCATTCTATCCATCAACTACCAGGAACGTTTTGTTTTTTAGCCGGGAATCGTAACACCTTCCGCCTCAAAAAGTCTCTTTTCATTTGCTGGCGATGACCACGTTCCTCAGTGTAGGATAAGACCATCCCTTACGAATTCTTTCAAGCGGTACAAGCTAATTGCGGGTACTTCATCATAAATATGTTCACTATATTAAAGAACGCTGACTCAATGTCTCGCTTGCTATACTAACACCGCTCGCTCCTATGAGCTACCCGTCTAGCTCAATAGCAACATCATTGCACCGGCATCATGAAGGAGAAGGTTCGATTTCTGCCGAGGGCCACTTCTCGGAGGCATCAGAAAGTTTGCTAAATTTTTTCTCCTACTCTAGAACAAATTCAACATAAACGTAACATAACCCTCTTGCGTTGAAAGATGAGGGTAGCTAAATGGGTAAGTAGCGCTTGCATTGTTTGTCGTGAAGCAAGGAATACCTTTTTATTATTATACTTTATAATAAAATATTACGAAATATTATCATCGTTATTTTTCTTATGACAAATGAATAATATTTCCCAGAAAATGGAGACAAACACGTGTCAATATAATAAAACATCCTTATGTTATAGCTATACGCCATGTAAATAAAGATCATACCTCAGCGATCTCTCTCTGAATCATACCGCTGATTTCTCCTGTAAAAATTAGAACGTTTATAAGCCTATTAAAGTACTACCTTAATTCTCCATTTCCAATTCATTCTTTAAATCACAGAACATTCCACGAAAGAGAAACTCTAATTTATACCTTCAATGAGATCTGAGAATCATTAGAATTCATATTCCTGGACAGACGGGAAAGAAAATGCATGAATAATGTTAAAAAGTTTCAAACAAAAAAACGAAGATCGAAGCACGGTCTTACACGTTTAGAGAGTGACACACAGAATTCAATTCTAGGCCATTCATAAGCCTAGATGTGAAGGAGTTACAGGAAAATTCTGGTTACAAAGCTGTGATTTGACGTGGTACGTGCGTTGGGGAGTTACCCGCGCGTTTTTATTTGCGCGCGCGTTTACTTTATTCGTTGCGCTAAGCTGCCTTATTTCAGTATGGTTTGGATTTCAACTCTTAAATCAAATATAAAAACGTCCAGTTTACTTCCTCGCTTTCGAAAGTGAACTAAATTCTCTTCCTTTCAAAACACAAGTGGAACTGTGGAAACACTTTTCTCTCTTTATATTTTATATATTAAGCCACTTAATAATACGCAAAATGAACTAAGACAAAAAAATATATGTAATAAACCACAGTGTTTTTACCCAAAATCGTAAAATCTTATATATACTTACATATTTTCTCGATAATTTCAATATAGAATATTGAACCACAATATAACAACGCTTTTGAAAACAATTTGCAACGAACTATTCGCGAAATGTGAGCCTCTCGAAAAATTTCGACAAGTGAGCGGTCCTTTGTTGACGTGGATAATTAATACTTTTGCGCACGCGAGTTTTGGTGAGCAAGCGAGACATTGAGTCAGCGTTCGGCAATATCAACAAAAAGAGCGCGTGGTAATAAGAATTTTTTTTCGAAAATCAAGTAGTGAACATATTTAAGCTGAAGTACCCGCAATTAGCTAGTACAGCTTGAAGGAGTTCGTAAGGAATGGTCTTATCCTACAAGGAACGTGGTCATTGCAAGCAAATGAAAAGAGACTTTTTGAGGCGAAAGGTTTTACGATTCTCTGGCTAAAAAACAAAAGGTTCCTGGTAGTTGAGGGAAAGCATGCGAAAGCATGCATTCGTACTCGGGTGATTAAAGCTATGTGCGGCGATCTTGCAAGCGCGACTGCTAGCGTAGACAGGGCTACTAACACTGAGAATTCAACAGTGTTGATGACAGTCGATCTATAAACCGGGGAGGTTATGCCGCCTGTTGGTTCTATATAACGTGGTGAAACAAACGCGGTCAAGTGTTCAATCTGATAGTGCAGAAAGCATTGAAAACCTTAGAATTGAACAATTAATTATGAACAACGCTACTATTCGCTCGTTGGCTGAATCTGTGGATCGGCTCGCTCAATAGTGGCTGAAATCCGAACAAAAATATGCTGTTGGGCACAGGATTCATGTGACAGGAGTGTAAAGGCTACAGATGATGAACCAATTTTTTCTTAGCTGTTTAATTGGAAAAGCCATAGGAAAATTGTAACTGTTTTTCTGCCTCGTCCCCATAGCCGTACGGAACAGGGGGGGCAAAATTTCGAGAATAAAAAAATTCGGGCAAAGTTCAGCCGAAAATTCGGGCAAACTGAAAAAATTTAAAAGTAAATTATGTAATATATATCACATATATGTATTCTATTTGAACATTTTAAATAAATTTGTACGGCTCAATAAGTTGGTCGTAATAGGTTAGTTGGTCAGTAGGTCCTTTCTACGTTTGAAAAAAACTATCCAGGTGATAAGTTCATCCATTTTACAAACAGCTGGCTCAAGAGCGACACGTTCATTAGACATGAAAAGATGGGATTTCCACAATATAGACAACGTCGATATTTAAAAAGCGCTTGGAGATGTAACGTTTTATTTTGGTGTTTAGATCTTAAAGACACAAAAACCAAAATACGGGGTAGTTTTTGTTCAAGTTTATATTGTTGTCTCTCCGTACCATTACACACCTACCAGCGGTAGCGGTACAGTAGCCCATATCATTAGATTAAGAACAGAGGGAAATTAGGACTTGACTGAATCTCTATCCGTGTATTTATCACGATAGTTCATTTAACAACTCGCTAATTCAGTTGCTCGTGTGAAAAAATAGCGTAACTCCCTCTGAAGGTCCTCAAATGTAGGATATGCAAAAATATACGGCTTCATCCATTTTGCCAGTTCCGCTTTTGTTCTTTCTTGGCAGAACCTTGGAAAATGAGGACACAATTCAACAAACTCGCTTGCCTAAATGGATCTCACCTGACCTGGTTTGGCGGTGCAAGGACTAATCATATAACAGTTTAAATATTGACTGACACAGAGTGCATTCATTATTTAAGAAAATTAGACAGAAAAGTCACGTTTTCACTGAAGGCGTCCCCCAACAAAATATTAAAAGTTTAATTTACCCTGAAGCAGTCTACGGGTATGGGTATAGCCTTATTTTGCTCAATAGAAATTCAACCTGCTTACATGTTTTACAATAAAAATCTTGTTTGCCCCAACAGATCAAAGTCTGACTACTGGAAATGAATTTTAAATGTGATGTCCGATTGAAATTCGTTGAACAAAATAAGGCGACTGTACCCGTATGTATTGTGATATAACAAATAGTAACTCACTAATATTACTTATTACTAATATTAACTAATGACGTCAGGATGTATATAAACTAAGTGTATTGACATTATAGGGTATTATTGTTCGAGACATAATTGCACATGGTGGCAGCGCTGGGATATATAAAAAATTAGCTATTTAGAAATATGGCAGAATCAAGCAACAACGACGAAGAAAATATTGTGCGAAGTTTTACAACGTATCAAATAACACCGCCGTCAAAGTTTAGCTTTCAATCGTCGGAATGGACCCGATGGATTCGCCGATTTGAGCGGTTTAGAATTGCTACAGAACTCGACAAGAAAGACGAAGAGAAACAAGTCAATGCGCTTATCTACACTATGGGCGATGAGGCAGACGATATAATCACATCGTTTGGCCTCAGCTCAAAAAAGCTACGAAACAGTTCGAAACAAGTTCGAAAATCACTTCATCACTAAACGAAATGTGATTTTCGAAAGAGCGAAATTTAATGTTCGAGCTCAAGACGAAAACGAACCCGTGGAAAGCTTCATTACCGACTTACATTGCGTCGCCAAGTACTGTGAATTTGGGGTACTGAAAGATCAATTGATGCGAGATCGTATCGTAGTTGGACTGCAAAACAAAAAACTATCGGAGAAGTTACAATTAGATCCAAATCTAACTCTAGAGAAAGCTATGTCTCAAGCAAGACAAAGCGAGGAAATCAAAAAGCAACAAAGTGTTATTCACGGAGAAAAAGTCACAGGAAGTAACGAGCACAATATCGACAACATATCTAAGAATAGATAGCAACAACGTTCCCGTGAAGGTCAGTTTACTCAGAGTACTAGTAAACACAGCAAAGTTTACAAGCCCAAATGTTCACGGTGTCTCGGAACACCACACTCCAGGCAATTGTGCCCAGCAAGTGAGTCCATATGTCATAATTGTTCAAAGAAGGGACATATGGGCAAAGGCATGTCGAAGCCAAACGGGCCAACAATTCCGAAAGCAAGAAATAAACGAATTAAATTTCAGGCAAGAAAACAGGGAGGAGAATTTGTCAGAAGATGAGGCATATTTCTTGGGTGAAATATTACTCCTAGACACTGTCGGCAACACTAGCAGTAAACCGTGGACTGCAGACATCAAAGTAAATGAAGAAAACATCAGATTCAAAATCGACAGTGGCGTTGATGTCACAGTGATACCATTAAGAACATTTCAACAACGAAAACTACCTCTAAAGCTCGACTCGACTAGAAAAGTCCTAATGGGTCCATGTAAGCACAAGCTGAACTGTATTGGAACATTCGCATCGCAGCTCCGACACGAGGACCAGACAACGACAGAAGAAATATTTGTCGTGAAAGGCTTAGAAAGACCACTACTCGGAAGGCAAGCATCCCAGAATCTGAAGCTAATCAATCAAGTCAACGTGGATGTACTAAACAAGGTTGAAACAGAAAAAACCATAAGAGAAAAGCATCCCAATCTCTTCACTGGTCTCGGACAAATTAAAAACCTAGAATACGATATCAAAATCACTCAAGATGCAATCCCGTTTGCCATCACAGTACCACGACAAGTACCGATTCCACTCCGCAAAGAAACTCAACGAGAAATAAAAAGAATGGAACAAAACGGAGTGATATCGCGAATTGAAGATCCGACTGAATGGTGCGCCCCGATGGTGGTAACACCAAAAAGCAATGGAAAGGTTCGGATATGTGTAGATCTCACGAAGCTCCAACCAGTACGTACAACGCGAAAACCACCCACTACCAATACCCGAAACAACATTTGCAAACCTTGCTGGTGCTCGGCATTTCTCAAAATTAGATGCGAACTCGGGATTCGGGCAAATTAGACTGTCAGAACAAGCAAGACCTCTCACAACGTTCATCACCCCATGGGGACGATATTGCTTTAACGTTCTTCCCTTTGGAATAAGCTCAGGCTCTGAAAAGTTTCAGAAGTGTATGTCTCAAATCCTCGAAGGTTTAGAAGGTGTCGAATGCAACATTGATGATGTTCTAATATATGGTACAACACAAGAGGAGCACGACCAAAGATTGGAAAAGGTACTCCAACGACTCGGCGATGCCAACGTCACCCTTAATCCTGAAAAGTGTGTATTCAACGTCCCCAGCGTGAAATTTTTAGGTCAGATTGTTGGATCTGACGGCATAAAACCAGACCCAGAAAATACAAGCAATCCTGAAAATGCCACCACCAACCAACATACATGAAGTCCGTTCCTTCCTTGGCATGGTGAATCAATTCAGCAAATTTACCACCAATCTCGCCGTCATGACAAAACCCATTCGCGAGCTGCTGGTCAAAAATATCGCATGAACATGGGGACCTCCACAACAAAATGCCTTTGACAAAATCAAGAAAACCCTGTCATCAGCACCAGTTCTGACCTTGTATGACCCCAAGAAAGAAACAAAAATAGCAGCTGATGCTTCGTCATATGGCCTAGGAGCGGTAGTTCTACAAGAAGAAGAGCCGGGTAACTGGAAACCTGTATCATTCATTTCAAGATCGATGACAGCAACTGAGACTAAGTATGCGCAACAGAAAAAGAGGCTCTGGCGGTTACTTGGGCATGTGAGCGGTCAAGCAACTACATAATTAAAAAGGCGATAATAATAGAAACTAACCATAAACCACTGGTTCCCCTGCTAACCCAACACACGGTCGACAAACTACCTCCAAGGCTACAACGCTATAAGATGAGACTCATGAGATTTCACATCAAGGAAGTCCGACACGTACCTGGAAAACTACGCTACACAGCTGACACTTTGTCAAGAAAAATACCTGAGGGCACAGCTCAACCAACGATAGCAGAACAGGAAATGAATACCTACACTCCAGTGTAATGGAAGCACTCCCGGCATCAAATCCAAGATTGAAACAAATACAACAAGCTCAAGATGAGGATGAGGTATGCAAAGAAGTGAAGAAGTACTGCATGGATCAATGGCCAGACAAGGATCATGTCACCCGGGCAGTAAAACCATACTGGTCAGTACAAGGAGAACTCACAATTGTTGACGGGTTATTACTAAAAGGAACAAGACTAGTTATTCCATCCAATCTTCAACGCCAAACCCTTGCCCAAATACACCAAGGTCACCAAGGGATTAACAAATGCAGAGAACGAGCCAAGATATCCGTTTGGTGGCCAGGACTTAGTGCACAAATCAAAACTATGGTTGAAAATTGTACACCTTGCAGCAAGCACAGACAACAGCATGCAGAACCGTTGATCCCAACGCCACTCCCAGCAAGACCATGGCAACTGATCGCAACAGACTTGTTTATTCTAGAAAAGGTGACCTATCTACTAGTGGTAGATTATTATTCTCGATATGTTGAAGTTGTGGCACTAACCAAAGATACAAGTTCAACAAAGATAATACAAGCTTTAAAAGCCATCTTCGCCAGGCACGGGATTCCGGACGAAGTACGTTCCGACAATGGGCCCCAATACCACAGTGACGAGTTCGCCCAGTTTGCAAAAGAATGGGGATTCAAGCATAGTACCAGTAGTCCTCGCTATCCTCAAGCGAATGGAGAGGTAGAACGGGCAGTAAGGACAGTGAAAAATATCTTGAAGAAAGAAAAAGATCCCGCAAAAGCAATGTTAGCATATAGATCAACACCATTAGCAAGTGGATATTCGCCAGCGGAACTCCTCATGGGGAGAAAGATAAAATCAACAATACCAATAATGACACAACAGCTCACACCGCAGCTACCAAACCAGGAACTTTTTAAAGCAAAGGAAGAAGAATATAGATTGAAACAGAAGAAGAATTTTGATAATCGCCATAATGCTCGAACCATGAAGCCTTTGACATCAGGAACAACAGTTTATGTGACAGATATGAACTGCACAGGAACAGTAATCAAAACATCCAACAAACCAAGATCATATTTGGTTGACACCCCTATGACGGTTATAAGAAGGAACAGAGCACATCTACGTAGTATTCCAAATCACACCATAATTCAGCAAGTCGACAAGAAACAAGAGAAACAGGAAGACCCCCTAATACGAATACGAACAACAGACCGAAAAGAATAAAAACACTTTCTTTAAAGGCCAGAGAGAATCTGGGACTAGAATAACTAAGTACCGTATGGCATTAGCTATAAAGACAGAACAATACAGTCGTTGACATTATGTTGACAAATCGAAGAAAAGGGAGATGTAGTGTGATATAACAAATAGTAACTCACTAATATTACTTATTACTAATATTAACTAATGACGTCAGGATGTATATAAACTAAGTGTATTGACATTATAGGGTATTATTGTTCGAGACATAATTGAACACCGTAGACCAGAAGCTGGGTATCAGATTAGAACGGATATGCAGGGTCATTTGGCAGAGTTTTCAGTAATTCTCATCCAAAATTTGTTGGACCATGTTAAAGTTTAAGAAACACACCTCTGGCAACAAAAGAGTATGGTTCCATAATCTTCTTTATGACGTAATGCACGACCGATGGCTTGATTGACAGCTCGAGATGCCTGCTGACCATACCACTGTTGACCATTTAATCCCTGGAAATACAAGATTATGAGTGAAATAGTACCTACATTTGTTTCTGACTCAGAAGAAGTTTATCAAACTATTGTGGTAGTGATGGTATAAACAATGATATATGACTTTGAGATTACAGTCACGATTTGAATTGACAGAGCTTCAGATAAAATTCTCAGCACAAAAGTTTCCCTATTTGAATACGGGCTAAATTGACTTTTGAGTCTGGAATTGCCACATATTCCTGGTTTCGTATAGGATTGTAAAACCACAAAGCAATTTTAAAGTTTATTTCTTAAAAAAAATGATTAGAACCACTTTATAACCAACCTTAAAATCTCTTTTTTGTTTACCACCTCATCTAGGAATTGTTTTTCAATTCCACCTGAAATGCGAGGGAAAACAAAAAAAATGTTTTTGAACTTTGGAAAAGATGTCTAGAGATAATAGATTTTTACCATAACTGGGGTAATAATAACTGATTATTGACCGACGGATATGTGTTTCATGACCAACCAATCAGAGTAGAGATCTTGAAAAGCCATATTATTAATAAATCAAACTTGAGTAACCACAAATCCCAACGTATTCCTATTATCGACTGAACAATAATCAAAAGACTCATTTCCCAATTTATTTTTGCGAATATTAAAACAGCATTAGCTAGGTTGTTAATCGAAAACCAAACCTTTGGATCAAAATCCGGTGGATAAGGTAAACCAGTTGTGACGACAGCACGACCGTTGATATCACTGAAGTCAACACCTTCGCTGAACTAAACGTGAGAAACACACGAGTTTCTTGTAAAACATCTGAGGCTTGTATGAATTCTTTTTACGATCTGCTATCAGGATGTGTTTGACTTGTATGTTTCGATCATAGTTTCATGTCCATAGCTCGTTTCATGTCCAAGCTCTACGAAATTAATCCTAACTTTTAATTTCCAACCTCACCCTAACTCTTACCCAACTATTTATAATAGAGGGTTAGAATCAAGGATTATATTCGTTGACTCTGGACATGAAATTACTACCTGTTTCCACCAAATCTGACAAGATTTCAGCAGATCAAAAAGACCAAGAGCTTATTACTGTACAAAGTTTTAAACCTGACAAGCTGTCTTAACTTTCTGTGTTTAATGACTTTGGTATTAATACGTTGGAAAAGTGCGGTAAACACCATACCTTTCCTAGGCAAACGGCAAGAAACACAGCACCCTTGTTCTCTGGATTGCAGACTTTTTCATAAAATCCTTCCATTGCCTAAAACAGACCATAAATCCTAAGATAAACCTCAATCAGCCTGTTCATTCAGAATAATTTAGTTGAACATAACCTACAGATCAAAATGACCCGTTTTTCGTCGTGGCCGGTAAAAACGTACAGATGAACTGTTTAACTATATCGTTAAAAAGCCTAGTTTTAAGATTTCGCTGCATGGAAAGAGAACCTAACTCTGTAAATTCCCTTTTCCGTCTGGGCTCAACAAAAAAAGTTTTCTTGTCTCAAGTCCATAGACCAGAACTCTTACAAAACAAAGAATAATCATTGTGAATTAACGTAACGGACTAAGATATGAAACATCGTTCCTATCAGTTTCGTCAACAAACGAGGCGGTGGAATTTCGACCTAAGGCTAAGGAAGAACTAACAAAAGGTCCAGTAAGATTAATCTGTATAAAAATCACATTAGTGTTAGAGACGAACAATTCGTCTGGACGAACTTGGGAAAATATTTTTAATTCGTCTGTTAATTCGTCCGCGTATCAGAAACTACACCATCGTTAAATCTATAGGTATGCTTGCCAATGTTCCAGTGTTGTATGAAGGGTCCCATAGGACGGGGAAAACACCAGCATCCCATCAGGAACAACCTATGCAAATTTACTGCAACAGTCTTGCAAATTTAGTCTTGTTCCGGCCTGTTGAAAGCTTGCGTGTGAACAGTCGAGGGGACTGCTTTTTTAGGGCAAAGTTTCTTTGTCCTAAGTGGCGAAAATTCAGACGAGTCAGACAATCAGTCAGTCATTCATAGTGTAAACTTTCCGGGGGTAGTTTGATTTACGCTTATAGTAATTTTTTGTACATGATCAGAAATGTAACGTTTTTAAATCAGTTTAACTTGTTTTATTTTTTTATTTATCATCCATCCCTTTTCCTTTGGTGGTATACAGTATTGATTGATAATTATATTGCTTTGTATTCACATCATAGACATAATATTCACCGCGGTTTTTATTTCCATTATTTACAACGCAACTATTTTGGCTATTCTTTGGAAATGACGGATCAGTTGTTGCCATCATATACATGTAGTTGATGTAGTCACAGTTGTTTGACGAAGAGATGAGACATGGTGTTTTTTGCCAAACCCTATAATACTAAACTGATAAAATAACGCCCGCTTTGCATGAGCAACTAAAATTATAATCTAGTATTACAATATCGGGGCTAACGTAATTCAAGTACTTTGAGTAATCTCCCATTTGATTAAGGGTAATGTTTAACCTAGTTCTTTATATTTTTACTGGCATAAGTTAAAACGTTTATGTTGGGACAAATGTCTGGTTGCTTAGCACTATCTATATAACTTTGAACTATCCTTGGACACCTATAGTTTCACTTTTAGTTTGGTTCACACTTAGAACATGCAGATCCATCCTATGAAAGTCGTCACAATAAATAT